GTTTAGAAACCTCTCAGAAGCCAACACAGCTGGCAAGAGGACAACAAATATGCCGCGGAAACTGAGATCCACAAGCTCTGGTAAATATTCCTTTTTTTCTTCGTACAGTTTGTGTAGAAGTTTAACATGCTTATTTTATTGAACTTTAAACCTTAGTTCATCATTGTAAGTGCTTGACGTGCTTAAATGATGGTGTAAAATTAGCAAAAACAAGCAAAATAAAAGTGTATCATATAAGTGCTCTCGGGACTTTTCCGACTGAAATTTCGTCTACTTTTTGGATTTTTGTTAAATACTTTGATATTTGTTGGTTATTGACGGAAATTCCAATGCTGATATGATAATGAAAGTCTTGGGGCATTTTTCCGACAGTTTTGTCAAAGTTTGTTATTTATTAATGGGAAAAAATAGATGTTGAATGTGACCTACGATTACACCGATCATCCTTGTGACACTTGGGTCTTACAGGAATGTGTGAAAGGGGTAACTATAACATTTAATAAAAAAATTATTACTTTTGCAGGTGACAAACCATCAGTTGTCAGGAAGCATGATGACCCCACAAGTACATCTCAAGAGGCTGGTGAGTCAACCTCCTCACCTGGTGGGATATCATGCATGTTCCATTGTTTTAAATACCTGCAATAAATTTGTGATACTATTAATTTTATGTGATGGTAACCTTATTTGACGAACTTGAACTAACTAGTGATGCAAATTATCTTAAATACAATTCTTTTGTAGGTGGTGCACCATCATCAAGAAGCTACAGTAGTGAACCAGGCCCATCTATATCTCGACAAACTGATGCTGCACGTTTAAGAAGAGGTGGGGCATTGCATTTTATAATGTATCAGTATGATAATATTTCTGCCATTCTGATTAATGCTAGAATTTTCCAATAATTTCCAAGACAAAACACATGGCAATGTTACAACTTCATCTTAATCAGCTTAGGCAGAACAGAGCCATCACGTTTGTCTCATAGCATCTCTGCACTATTATATTGTTACAGGGAGCAACTACTCCCATACAGGAGATGGCAAATCACAGACTAGGTCTTTTCTGGATCTCCTTGATGAAAGTGACTTCAGTGAGAGTGATGATGACTGGCTACCCGAGGCAGTGACGTCATCTGGGAGACTAATTGGAGTTGAAGAAGCTGTCACTTCTCGGACTCGGATTCTGAAGAGGATCTCCAGGAGATATCTGTATCTTCAACTGCTGGGAGCCAAGAAGATTGTTTTACCTACGAAATAAATCTTTCGTAGACCATGCTCCTCAGAATGCAACAGAAAATTTAGGAGCTTGTAACTTACTGAAACCAATTGAGTATTTCCTATCTTATGTCAGTGAGGATTTTTTGGGAGATATTGCAATGTATACAAATATGAAATCAATTGAAACTACAGGTGCATGTATTAACACAAACAGCAAAGAAATTGCCACTTTCATAGGAATGACATTTGCTATGTCAATCATAAAGATGCCAAGAATTAGAATGTATTGGCAGTCAAAAACTAGGATCCCTTGGATAGCTGATAAAATGGCAAGAGAGAGATTTTTCCGTCTCAGACATTCGTTAAAGGTTATTAATGATAACACTGTATTGGAAGACGACAAAAAAGTGACAGGTTATGGAAAGTAAGACCTTTGTTGGAAGCAGTACGAACTCGTTGCAGCGAGTTGCCAAGGCCATCGAAGGTCAGTATTGATGAAAGCATGATTCCTTTTCGAGGTAGAATCAGTATCAGGCAACATGTCCCTGGCAAACCTTTCCCAGACGGGTTAAAAATGTTTGTCCTAGCTTCTCCAAGTGGAATGGTACTCGATTTTGAAATTTTTCAAACTAAAGAAGCATTGCTATCCATTATTGAAAAGCTGAATGTTAAACCTGACAGAACCCTCACAACTGGTGAAGCAGCAGTATTAAGGTTTGTGCGCAGTGTGGATGCTGGCACAAGTATCTTTTTTGATAGATTTTTTACAAGCTCAAACTTATTGTGTGATCTGTATGACAGAGGCCTTCGAGGAACAGGCACAATTAAGAAAAACATGGTACCTAAAGAGGCTAAGCAAATATTAAAGACTGAGGCAACCTTGCGCAAAGAGGGCAGAGGGGCATCCGATTGCCAAGTCCGAAATGATAACAAGGTGGCTGTGACTGCTTGGTATGACAAAAAGTTGGTACTAATGGCTTCCAATGAGTTCTCTATTGATGACGAAGATATATGCCAGCGGTGGTCTAAGGCTACCAATACCCATGTTGGTGTAAAGAGGCCCCGTGTGGTAAGGGAGTACAACAGTGCCATGGGGGGTGTGGATGTTCATGACCAAATAGTCAGCTATTACAGAAGCCCAATCGCACTAAGAAGTGGACTGTTAGGGTGGTATTGCATGTACTTGATGTTGTAACTGCCACTGTTGGCTGGAATACAGAAAGGATATGGAGTCAAAACCCAAACAATATCTAGACTTCAAATTAATCTTGGCAGACCAG